GCATGCATGTTTAACACATCAGGTGTTGGGTAATAAGCTTAAGGTCACGTGTGTGGCGGTATAAGGTGATGTACCAAATAAATCTACTGTACTTTAGTCTATATCGACCGTTAGCGTGGCTTACAGCTCGCCGGTGTACAAAATCTAATTTCGTTTTCAGTTTTGCACAAGTCTTACGCGCGATTTTAATATACCAGTTCGCCATGTACTGGCGTTAGTTTGCCCTCACCGGTCCTGGACCAAAATGCTATATTCAGTTGTACTTGTTGTTTCTTAAAGGAGAACGGAGGGCGAAAACCCATTTTTAAAAAAATCGTTCTTATGAAAGTACATGATACGTCGTAATCAAATCGCTATGTTTTAGGATGTGAACTAACTTTTTAACCTGATTGTAACAGCAAAAAGCTCCGTACCTGAACAATTTGAACGTCCGCCATTTTGGAAGCCATGTTGAAGGCTTGGGCGCATAGCATGACGTCACTGCGCACAGGGGAAAACACGCGAATTTCAAGTACTACGATTTCACTGCGACTGTCGTCAAATCGAATTATATATGGCACTGTAGAGCTTGAAATGTCACGTTTGTGCATAATTGAATCTTATGTTGGAGGATTAACTGAGCTCAACGAAGCGTTAGGAATAAATCTCACAGCTGGCAAATTAGTTGTGACCATTTGTGTACATGAGCTAGCTTACATGTTATTTAGTTCTCTTGGTGCTCCCATTCTGCGCACCTGACACAAACCCACGATAGCGATCTCTAGGAGCTTCCCTTTTTAAACAAATCGTTTCAAAGAGAGGGAGCTGTGTTATAAATCTAGAAGTCGGTTGAGCTGCCTCTATATCTGAACCCCAAAAATATAAACAGGTTATATCGCAACCATTTCGCTGTCATGTGAGCCTGCCATGCACGCCACGACAAAAGACGAAATAAATGAAATAAATCAAACAACACTTTTTTTCCCACCGAGTCCATGGCTGTTTACTAGCTGCCTAGTGCCAAAATAATCAACATCTGCTGAATACAAAAGTATTATTCACCTGAAATTGTATTTATTTACGGCTTCCTTGTTGCACTTCCCAGTTCGCACAACACTCGCATACACACCACGATGTATTTCC